CACTATTTAAATTATTCATATAATGTAAAATTTAAATAATTATCACAAGTCCTGAAAGGGTCATTGTAAATCAGTTGAGTAAACTCAAGAACACATTTGTTTATAAAGTCATATATCATGGCTGTTAGACTAAACTCACTCCGTTTTTCCATATCGCGTTGCACGTCATGCAGTTCTATAAGCTCGTTTTTGTAGTTTTAAGTAGACATTATTATGCATAGTAATAAAACATCTAAAAAAATCACAGTTTCCGTGAAAGGGCGACCTCACCTTCCGTAAGCACGGTGACAGTAGATCTTCCAGCCTCTTCTCCTCTCCTCCTTAGTCAGGGTCTCCGTCAGGCTGTAGTTGAACTGAAACGCCCAGCTGTCGCCGTGTTCCAGCTCGTCCTCTTCCAGCTGAGCGAAGGTATCCGACCAGAGAGCGGGAGTCCAGTCTGATAGTTAAGGGTATAAAGTCAGACATACCAGCTTTATAAATATAAAATATACAAATATAAATAAATAATAAACAAATATAATCCTATATAAAATATAGGATCTATAATATACGGTTGTTGTATGGTCCGTGTTGCTAAGAATTTTTCAAGAATGGAACGCTCCAAATATTATTATTATTATTGTTATTATTATACGAACCTGTAGCCATTTTACACAACCTCCTCCTGTCTAGAGAGCCCAAATCCCCGGTGTGTTGTCTGTTCCTGACGATGACTGACTTCAGGCAGACTGGCTTATCCGATCTTGGACTCGGACGCATTGTAACCGTTTTATGCCGCCCAGCCTGTGAAGTCAGGAAACCGAAACCAAAGGCCATATAGATATTCTGATGCACTTCGCTTTCATTTAATTTTGTTTCGTTTCTGTTTGTCTATCGCGCAGGGGATGACAATGACTATCAAATGTTTTGGTAACATTTTACTTGATGGGGCACAAATACGTAGCAATAAGTAAGTTACTACTGAGAAATCATTAACAAATACAGTCGCTACTTCAGATAAAAGATGCGTCATGGTTCATTAATGAAGAACAAACATTAAATCAGTATTTACCTTCTGTTACTCATGACTTGTTCCTTCAGTCGTTCACAAATGTGTACAGAAGTAACAGATATATAGTAACAAATATAGTAACTGCTTGAGATAATTCATCATTAAGGAATCGTGACGCATGTTTTAACAAGGGATCGGTATGAAATCACTGAATTAGTTTGTGGTTAATTAATACATAAGTAACAGCATAATGCTGCATCATTTGTGCTCCGTCAAAGTGTTACCAATGTTTTATGTATAGCCCAAGTTTGGGAAAATACAGTAANCTTTTTTTGAAAAACTTTTCCTTCAGAGCACATTGTCCACAACTGAGAAAGAGGCCCAAACACTTTAATGAGCTCTGAGTAATCTCCACATAGCGGTGCTTAGGTCATAGTCTTTCGTCTGGGAATGCTCTTTGTAATGCATCTCTTTGTTCTGAAATTTTGCTCTGCAGGAAGTACACAGGCTCCTCTATGACACCTGGGGACAATGACAACTCCACTACATCTTCCAAGAGCATCAAAACCTCCCAAACCTGGTCGCCCTCTGGAAAACGATGGCCTATCAAAACAGGTAGAAGTCGAAGAAGAGCCCAATTTTCACAGCCATTTCTCACAATTGTTCCCTGAGGCATCGTGAAAATCATGAAGGACGAGGAGACTTGTTTGCCAGGACAGAACACGCTTTTTATTATAGTCCTGAACAGGATTATAGCACAACCCAACAAGCATCGAACCCAAATCCAGTGGGGAAACACAAGGAAGTCAGACGCAAGACGGTAAAGCTCACACATGGTGGGTAATTTATACAGCACTAAAGACCCACGAGGATCATACTGGGTTCTAATTTTAACAAATCTTTTTGTCACAGGGCGTAACCCTAGAAAAAGTTGACAGTATGATTTTCTGCTGGCATTTTCCTGACTCCATGTTCCAGGGTGCAGGTTTGACGTTACTGGGGTCTGTGACTGTAAGTGCTTGTATTCTGTATGTTTACCTGGATGGCGATGCTTCAGGTGCTGAAAAGTCAGCAGAATTTCTGGTTCATGGTTCAAGGTTGCTTTTATTGTCATTTCAACAATATACGTGGTACAGTACAAAGTGAAATGAAATAACGTTCCCCGGGACCATGGTGCTACATAAAAGGACTGGGACAATACAAAAAAGATGTAAATTGCACGTATGTCAGGTAAAGTGCACGTGTGCAGACATGTGCAAAAACAGCAGGTAAACAAACACAAGACAGGTGCATTTTAGACAAGTGGTTTTAGTTGGCACAAGTTTTCAGAGTCTGTTGAGTGTCAGATATTAAACAGACTAAGTACAGCCACAACACTGACTTCTTTCCCTTACACCCACAACATCTCCCTTTTGGAAATGTGGCTGCCCAGCTGTTGCTCTCTTCACTTATATTTGATGTTTCTCTTCGCAAACCTCTTCCATAACGAGTATTAGTGATGTTGCAGACCCATATTGAAAGCCCATGTTATCACCCATACATACCATGTATTACCAATACAGTAACATGTACTGCATAACTCAGTCAACATCGCCGTGCGCTTAATGTTCATAGGTTGTCTGTTCTTAAAAATACTAAAACTCTGCCTAATGATTGGTTGGAGTTCAGTTTGCTTCTGTGATCTGATAGGCTGATGTGTCGTATTAAGCAATGTTCCTTATGGACAGTTTATTGAAATCTCTCATTTTCTTATCATACCTGATTTTTGATAACCTGCCATTTTGACACTTAACTGGGGGAGGGGGGCTAAATATTCCACTTTTGACTTTGCCATGGCGTGACAGACCAAACCATTTTCACTCTAGTTTTCACAAATGTGTATTTTTCATAAATTATTCCAACAGATTATTTAAAGGTTACAGGCCAAGCCGGTTCCCCCCAGTCGGGGGCCCTGCCTGACATGTAGATGCACTGTGTGAACATGAAACAGTGTAACAGATTCTCAAACACATATACAGCTTGCTTCTGTGACTATCAAGCTGAGAGTTCTTTGCTGAACAAAGGAGATCCAATGGCAGCAGATATATGTAAATATTCATGAGCTGCCAAGACCGTCACAGTTTGCCTCCCATTTCATTGACACTTTGTGTGGAATCACCAACTACTCAGCCGCAGAAGCTCAGCCCCTCATAAATACCCAGCTGAGCCACCAGGGGGCGCCACAGGTTAGCACCTGAGACTAAGAGCAGTATTTCTGATACAGGCAATTCAGTAGCAGTTTAAACAAAAAAACACTTGAGTGACAGACTAGAACTGAGCTGTTACTTGGTCCCAGAATGAAAGAATATTTACCTGTAAGGAGTGTAAGGTTTCCAGTGTCCACTAGGGGGAGCGACACATCATTCACTAACACAGGGGTCTCCAACTCCGGTCCTGGAGAGCTACTATCCAGTAGGTTTTCTATCCTACTTGGCTTCTGATGAGCCACACCTGGCCCTGGGATTTACCTGAGAACAGGTGTGGCTCATCAGAAGCCGGTAGGATAGGAAAACCGACTGAATAGTAGCTCTCCAGGACCGGAGTTGGAGATCCCTGCACTAACAGGATTTATGTCATGCAGGGAAACATTGACTGGGTCAGATGCTATTTAGCTCCTTTGCCTAATTTTTTATTTATAGAGACTAAAATTTTAAAAATGAAGTATCAAGTCAGTACTGACAAGACAAATCATTTGTATATATAGCACAGTGTTTAAAAGTTTAACTGCTTACAGGAAATTTATACAAAAGTATAAATAAAGTTTTTTAATAAAGTATAAAAAAGTACAGAAATCATTCCGTTTTGTTCTTTGCTTTTGATTTCTGGCAGCACAACCAGAAACAATATTTGCATGTCTTCAGAAAGGTGTAAAGAGCCAGTGTGGCACTGCCCAGCAGCACAGTTAGTACGTCCAGACTGTGGTACTGGTACCAGGTCAGGTTGTGAGCTTGGACACGCAGGTGTTTGGCTCCTTTGTTCCGCATCACAAACTCGATCCAGAAGACGGCGCGGTCCAGCGGTTTCATCGGCTGGTCGTGATGGATCCGAGACAACCTCATGACACTTTCCTTGTACCTGTGAACGCAAAATCACAAGAAGACAAGATAAAGCCAAAAGAGACTTCAGACAGTCAAGAAGTTAATTAAAAATGGAAATTAAGCAGCTTTAAAATGAATTATCTTGTCACTGCATTTGGACATTATTTGTATGCATTGCATTGAATTACCTGGGTTACATTTTAAACTGAGGTTGATTAATTTTTTCAATATATATGTAATGCAGCATTCTAGC